AGGGGTTAAGCATTTTTTGCACTTTACAATTTTAAATTGTTCTTAATTAGATAATATTAATGATATTTACAAGTTCTTGATCTAAAATTGAATGCATGTATGTAGTAGGAAGCGACAGTTATGACATTTGTACAGTAGATATGGTTAATTAAAAGAATCAGAGACCAATCTACTTGATGGATCTGTAGTACGAGACAATTCACAAAATACATGTGGTGTGATGCAGGCATTATGTCATTTATAATTGAAATAAGCTGCAGAGAGAATAAATCATATTAATAAAAGAACAGTCACTATAACACTTGTAGCCCTCAATGTATTCATTAGAATTCTGTTGGGATTGCTATGTTAGCTGTATCAGTTTATGCAAAGCAGCGGATGTTGAGCCGTTTACATGCATTTGAATGGATTAAAATGAATAGTGTATTAGCATATAAGTCAGGACATTCTCTCCAAGTTTCTCACTACTGTGTCATGGGATTCATTTACTTAAACAAGTAATAGTTAGTTATTTTAATCTGTCTTGGTGGGAAATGAAAGAGAAAGCAACCTGGGTTGAAAATGGCTCCTTTTAGTAATGTGCCTCCATCACATTTGATCCTTTTTTAGATTTGCCTGGTTTTAGACTTCTGCTGATATTAAAGAGTTTGGAATTTGTTTTAAGAAAACCCGAGTGACTGCCATTAACCTAAATGTTTCAAGATGAAATAATATTTTAAAATGGCTTTTTTTACAAGTGGTCGTTACATTATACTGATCCCATTTTGAAAAACTGTAAGATATCACCAGATAAGTGATTCAGCTGCTTTTTATATACTACTATGTAGTGATCAAGACAAAGGGAGAAAGCTCACACACTTGCACATTCTTCTTGTATTATAACATTTGAAATAGGGCTTTTTGTCTTTGAGTATCGCTGAATAATTCACATTCTCAGAAGATGATTCTGAAATGTTTAGAAGAGAAGTCAGAATCTATTAAACCAAGTTTTGTGGTAATGAGCAAATGTCGAGTTTCTCAGACTTCAAGGCAGCAATTTCTGCTGTACTGTCTACTGGTTGTGAAATAATATATATTCCTCACGTCAGTCAAAGTTGGAAAGTCTTCTTTTCTGTTTTTTTTTCCATCTTGAGCAGTTGTGCTGTCATCATTTCTAAGATATTTCTGAGCTAATTTATATCCTTGTAAAATAAATGGCAATATGAAACCATAGTTAGGCTAATTAAGTCAAATCATCTTGTGACTGGCCAGCACGGTTGAAGGAATATTTGTATAGCGAACGTCTTTGCAGTGCCATTGTGGTTTTTAAATAAGACTTTTGGGATTTATTAAA